GCTCCTTCCCAGCTGGCAGCCCTTCAACACCAAATCAACTTCCTGGAGAAAAAAATTACGAATGATACCACGCAGTGCAGTTTCCACATTCCACATTATATCCTCTAAAAAAAACAAAAGGCATAAGAGTAAGCTTATAGGGAAATCACTCAAAAGTGCGTTGCATGCGGCAATTTTGTGCATAAGAACATGAAATGAAAACAGCACTGATCAAATCCAATCCTTTTGCTATGATCATAAATTAGATTAGATTAGATTAAATTAGGGCACAAAATGACAACGAGAGGGAGTGAGATTAAGATTAAGATAAAGGTTAAGAATGGGTTTAACATTTTAACATGCAAAACTAAAAAATCTAGGTAAGATCTGAACCCAAAAAAAAGTCTTTGGCATTTGGTGAGTGGACTTTTCAAAAAGATCTACTTACAATTTTGGCAGCATAATTAAAACTCCGAGCACAGGCGCTGCACTGCGTTTCGATCTCGGACAGAGAGAGAGATCTATTTATTTAAATCTATTTATTCAAGTATAATAAAGAAAGAATACAAGGATAGAGCGGAAAGGACAGAGTACGGTACCGTTTTAAGGAAAGGTAACTGCCATTAACGGAAGCCTTCGATTTTCTATAGCTTCTGTCTTTCGTCTCTGCAAGTTAAATCAGACTTTTCTCTTCTTTCGCCAACAAGGAAAGGGATGAGGAGAAAACTACTGCATATATATATATATGATATAATATACTCTTTTCTCTTCCTACTTTCTATACAGTTTGAAGGCAAGTTTTAAACTGTTTTTTTTTATTATTTAAATTTGATATTTTTTGTTTTGAATTAATATTTTTCAGTTTTTTGTATTTTTTATATATTTATATTTAAAATATTTTTATTAAAAAAATATTATATTAAAGATATTTTCAAATAAAAAAGTATTTTAAAACTCGAGAGAGTAACAATTTGGATAGAAAAGGAGATCCTTAGACAAAAATAATTCTCAATTAGACCCAACTACTATCATTGAAATCTATAACAAAAACTACTTCTTTTTATTAAGACAATAAGTCCTTGATTTAAAGGAAAATATTTACTATGAGGGTTAATAGGGTAACTTCAAATATAAGGATCGACCTGGAAATGTTTTTGTCTGTGATCTAATTGAGAATCAAGTGATAGTTGGGGGATTCACATCTTCTTTTTTCTTTTTCTTTTTCTTTTTTTATTCCTCGCGATTGGAATATTATTAAAGTTGAAATAATGATGCTGATGGCATATTCTGCTTTGTCATCTGACCAATGGCAGTCTCCAACGTGGGCATCTCAATAACACGTGGATTTAGCTACTTCTAAATTTAAAACATATCGTTCTCTCTATTTACTGAAATTAATACTAATGATAATAATAATAATAATAATAATAAGCTCACTTGTTGTATTTGCGCACTCTTGTTTTACTTATTTCAAAATAAAAAAACAAGAAGAAAATAAATTAATGTTAAATATTAAGATATCTTAACTATTTTTTTTTAATTTACGATAGCTACTATTTTTTATTTATTTTTTATAATTTTTATTTTTCATGAAATCAATAATTGTTTTTTAACACCAACATCTCAATCAGATAACCATTTCAATAATAAAAAAATAAAAAAATTCCAATAATAAGGTTAAAAAATCAAAAATTAATATACAATCATTAAATAGCATAAAATCTAAAAAAACAAAAAAAACAATTACAAAAATCTCAACAATCTATATACAATCATTAAAAAATAGAAAAAATAAAACAAACTTCTATAACATTTATACAATTATTAACAACAAAAAAAATTAAAAAGAATTAAAATTTCTCCTTCAATATTTATACAATTATTTATAAAAAAAGATTAAAAATTTTCCATTAACATTTATACAGTTGTTAATAACAAAAATTAAAAAAAATATCAATAACATTTATACCATTATTAAACATAAAAAATAAAAAAACACAAAAAAAGAAGGAAAAACGAATCTTACCTTAATGTTTAGTTTTTCTCATGCCTAAAAAAAAATCAAACAAATTATTAAATAACAAGAGAATAAGAGGAGAAGATATATATGTGCATGACAAAGAGGGGGGCTGTCTCGATTTTAATTTTTTAATTTATGATTTTTTTATTAAAAAACTTTCTAACAATAAATTAAATATTAATTTTTTTGTTTATGTATTTGTAAAATTTAGTTGAAATTTATAATTTAATAAAAAAAATTTAGAAACATGCCAAGTATTATTGATATCTTTACTGTTATAAAATCAAAAATTAATATTTTAATTTTTTTATCGGTATATCTGTATGTAAAATCTTATTAAAATTTTTAATTTAATAAAAAAATTTCAAAAACTCACCACGTATCACTGATGTCTTTATTGATAGTAAATTAAATATTAATATTTTGGTTGGTTTTTGTTGGTGAATCATTTTGTAAAATCTAATTGAAAATTTTTATTTAATAAAAATATTTCATAAATGCACCAAGTATTATTGACCTTTTTACTATTAGAAAATTAAAAATTAATATTTTAAGTTGTTCATTGATGTATTCGTCTATAAAGTCTAACTAAATTTTAGCCTATTAATAATTCTGTCTATAAAAAACAGTAATAAAACAATGTAAGTGAAAAATGGATAATATGTTGACTCTCGAGAAAATATAAATGTACATTAACCACCGGTGATCTCATATGTCTTAAACAATAAGCAAGTGAGAAGTGAGCAATACCTTAACTCTTGAAAAAATACCAACATACAATAATCGTCAATAATCTTGTATATATTTAATAGTAATAAACAATGCAAGTGAGAAATGAACGGTATTTTAGCTCTTAGAAAAATACCAATAGGCATTAATTGTCGGTGATCCATACATGCTGAACATAATGAACAATGTCGAGAAAAAACATAACAAATCTAATTATATTATAGAAAAAGTTAAATAATAGGAAAATCACTTAAGGTGAAGAGATTCTTTTATTATGAATTATAATAGAAATTTCACCTTTAGTTTTGCATCTTCTCCTAAGATGTTTATTTGGCTCGTCTTTTCTTCTCATTCGTTCTTTTTTTTTTTATTATTCTTTTAATATCTTGAGTCAGGCTTGGTTATTGTAACCACGCCACACCCAAAAATATTATACATCTGTCAATCATTCAAGATCTAATAGTCTTGGGTATGCTAATAATTCCAAACTCAAGTGCCTTCAATTTGATAATTATATCAATCTCAAGCTACTAGAATTTGACAATCATGTTTGGATATAACATGATTGTCAAAACCAAGCATGGGTCTGTCAAACCCATGCTTGGATTACAAAAATTTAAAATTTTTAAAAAATAAGATTAGATTGCAAAAATAACCACTATCTCATTAAAGTAGGATTTTTTATTTATATGTAGCAGAACTTAATATAAACTCTTTTTTATTTGTATAACTTGTTTTATAAATTTATTATATTTGAAGAGGAAATAATTGAAAAATATATTGAATTCTAAGTGATTTATTTCAAGTTTTTAAAAACAAACTTTTCTTTTATGTGTGCATTGTGGATGGAAATATGTATAATGAAACTTATAGTCCAATATTGTTAAAAAAATACTAAACACTTATAATCCAATATTGTTAAAAAAATATAAAATAATATTCTCATCGGTGAAAAATCACAAAGGACCACTCATTAAATAAATGTTATTTTCATTGAGTTTAATTAAAAAAAAAAAAGAGAAGTTAAATTCATAAATAAAAACAACAAATTCATAAATATAAAAAAATAAACTAATTTCATTAGAAATATATGATTTGAAGTTTTAGATCTAAAATGTTAAATTAGATTTTTGTAATAATTTTTTGTTTATAAATATTTTTTAAACTTGAATTTTTGTTTAGGATATATTTTAAATTTTTTTATAAAAAATAAAAAAATTTACTTATACTTGAATTTTTATCTAGAATATAGTTTAATTTTTTTTTTATAAAAAATAAAAAAGTTTATAAGTCTTAACATTTTAATTATGGTCATAAGATTTAAGATATTTAAAATATTTTGTATACTTTTAATATTTTTTATATTTTTAAAAAAAATATTATTAATTTACTGTGAGGACAGTATTATAGTGGCTAGTAGCAGTGGCAGCAGTAAAGATGTTAAGGGAGGAAGAATAAAACGGAGAAGGGCAGGAACAGGACGGATGTAATATCTGTTTTGATTCCTCCAGTCCCCCTGAAAACAGACTGTTTGCTGCTTTCTATTTGTAACCTCTGTTTGCGTAGCAAACAGTGTCTTGTCTTTGAGCCTGCCTGCACTCTGCAATTTGCCCAACGGAGCCTGCCTGCACTCTGCAAGTTTTCAGTTTTCATAGTAAGGTTGACTGGCATAGCATCATCCATCACAAAATCATGTAAATGGGCCGCAAAATCAATGAAGAAACCCCATATACAGCCACAGGCCTTGCCTCTACCAGCAAAGCACATTAGTATTGCCTGTCACAGAGAGAAATGAGCAGGAAGAATAGACGATGCGTTCAGACCAGGAGAAGAAAGAAAGCTAAAAAAAATGCACCCAAAATAGCATTGCCTATCAGAGAGAGAGAGAGAGAGAGAGAGAGAGAGAGGAGAGTATATATAGCAGGAGGAGGAGCAGCGCAGTGGTCCTTCCCTTCCCAGTTTCCCCCAATCTGATTGTGTTGCTCAATCAAAAATCAAACAGATTGTGATTGGAAATGGCCTATAATATAATAGAAGCCTACAACTAACGCCAGCCCTCTACTTACTAGCTGCTTGCAGAACGAATTCATCAGTAAATAAAAGGACTCATGAATATGCTGGGACCGAGACAAATATGAGTAATGCTAAACATTATTATTACTTGATCCATGGTAAACTACAAAGCAAAGCAAGGCAAATATGCTGAGACCGAGACAGGCTTCACATACACACACACACACAAAAAAAAAAAAAAAACAAATTAAGCACGGATTCAGTAATCTACTTCAAAAGAACTTCAGCTACTTGGCTGGCTATAGCTGTTGAGAGTTTGCTTCAATTTCCTTGATTAAAACCCATCCCTTTCATATCCCTGAAGCTTCAACTTCTGTGACGAGGATGGAGGACCCCATATTACAATTTTATGATCATCACTAGCAGAAGCCAGCATGTGAATATTTGTTGGGTTCCAGCTCACGCAGTTCACAGTTCCTGTATGAATTGATTGCAGTTGCATGATTGGAATCCTTTGGCCTCTATGCCATATGAACACCTGTGATTAATATGACACGGATCAATCGTCAATCCCAAGCTATCTTAACAAATGATCGAGACAAAACATGATCACAGGTTGTATATTCCAAGTAGTATTCGCCCTGTGTTAATTCATGGATAACACCACAACAAACTAAAGAACAAAAGGTATAGTTTAGATAATTAGAACAGTGTTTCAAGTAATTTCCTATTAATCTTCAGCAGCATCGTTTCTCATGGAAGAGAACCTCAAATATTTTAAGTCAGATTTATTACAGAAAACAACAGTACGTACCCGAGAATCCTCACTCCCACTCGCAATAAATGTTTCTTCTAATCCACCGAGACAAGATCTGATGATAAATCGTGTGCTTATTCGACCTTCATATCTGCTGATGAGGCCCTCATAACCTTCTAGAAGACTCCAAAAATGGATTCCTCGGTTTAGCAGATTAACGAGGAGGACTTTGTTGTCATTCGATAATGAGAAGGAAGTAATCACACCCTCTTGCGGAAGCAGTCTCAAAATTTTCTTCTTTTCCCTGTCAATCACTGCTATCGATCTATCTTCGTATATGCTTAAGATTCTAGTTCCATCATTAGTTATGGCCATTTCCGACATCCTGAGTGCGTAGTTTTTCCAACAATCCATCTCCGCTCCTTCCAAATCCAACAGGATGATGCTCTGGTCAGTCGTACCAGCAAGTATAAACCCCACAGGACACCATGCACAGGAAATAAAACCAAAATCAGTTCTCTCATAAACATGGAGCAACCGTCCAGAATTGGCTTCCCATCGTTTGATAACCTCTCCTTCGCCACAAGTAAGTAACTGGTCATCATCAGGGCTCCATGAAACACTCAAAACTGGTTTCTCATGACCAAGTATATGCCCAAATAACACTTCACCGCCATCTGTAACCTGAATGAGGAATTAAGAAGAAGAATATATGATGGATCATGTAGCGGGAGATGACCATGTAGATCATCTTCAACGGCATACTTACCTTACCCTAAATGTCCATGTGCTATGCAAATCAAGGAAAGCATAATATTATTGAGAAGAAGCATAAAAAGATTAAAGAAACATTAATATTACCTCCCAAATGATTGCCGATTCATCCTTGGACGATGATGCCAAATACTTTCCGTTATGTGAAAATTGCAGAAACCAGACTTCATCAACGTGCATGTGCAGAATCTGTCCAATTATCATAAACATAAAGGATTCATACAGAAATTTCACAGAAATGTGCAGCATATTCATGGTAGGTGGGATCGATGCCACGGGACGCAGTAACAATGATTACTAAACCCTAAATATTATATATACCATAAAAGTTTTAATGTTGAAATATAGTGATGATGTGAACACTGTGAATCTGTATGTTTGGTAAGAGAAAGATATGCAAGGCCATTGAATTATGAAAAGAGCAACAACAAGTTACGATTTCACAAGGCTGATGTTCAAGATTACACTACTAGTAATACTCTCGTTTAAGAACATCAACCTTAGTGGAATCATTTACATTATAAGCTTTGATTTTCTTCACAAAAAATTAAAAAATATCTTAACCTAAAAGCTTTTCTTTTTTGTATTATTAATAAGAATAAGATAATAAAATTTATACTCGTAACTACTTGATAAATAAAACTTCAAATAATATTCTCAATCTAAAAATTTAAATTATTAAATAAGATTTTAATAATAATTTAAACCTTAATAATAATTTTATATTAGTCTCCGATAAAAACAAATGACAGCGCTCTAGATTTCTTTGAAGGCCAATCAGATACCAAAAAAAAACAGATATGTATAGGACAAAAAGGAATTAGAAAAGGGGACCATCAGCCCTGAAGACATTTAAGTTCTAACCTGCTTTGCTTGACAAGGAAGCCGGCTCATTCCACACTTATGATCCGAGTACAAAGAGACATTTCTATCTGAAATATTGTGATACAGGCAGCTTAATCGTCGCAGACTAATAGCCTCCTCAATAATACTTTCTAACCTTGTTGGATGAATCATGAGTGACGAAGGAAGAAAGTTATGTAGTTTCTCTAGAATCTCTGGCCTTGACTCAATGTTTAGATCCTCTGGACGAGAGATGGTACAGGAAGCAAGTTCTTGAACACGGTTAGAATTTATATCAAGAGGCGCAATTTTTTTCCTTAGAGTATTTAAGGAATCAAGAATACGATCGTCCCTCAGAAATTCGAGGAACTGCTGCTCCCATATCAAGAATGATGCCTGAGAAGTCAGGGTTGATTCGTCCAGAAGACTGATCGCATGCAACGTTTCCACACTTTGATCCCAGTTTCCAGCCAGCACTTGGTTCTTGAACGAGCTAATCTCTTGTGATTGCAATGGTATTCCTGATTGGTTCTCCAAAAGGGTTCCAATCTCCTCATAACCAAGCGATTGCAATGCCCGTGTTATGATTCTGACAAATTCAGTTCTTTTGACGACTCCTTTTGAGCCAACTGTCTCCACAAGCTGAGCCATCAAGTCATCCAAAGAGAAAGACGAGTTTTCAAGAAGCTTTTCCACTCTCCGAGAAACCACGTGTGATCTGTGAAGAAAAATGAACCAAAGATTGAGAATTGTATCATCTTAAAAAAGGCATATCAAACAAAAGAAATGTACTTAAAAAGAAAGGAACATGGATGAGCTAAGACAGCAATCACGTACAGTCGTTGAGATTGACGAAGAAAGTTAAAGAAAGGAGCAAGGAAATCTTGGGGGTGGGGTCTTTAATTTGCAACAACATTGAGGGTGTTGCCGGTAAGGATTTGGATTAGCAAGTTATTGAGGCATTAAAGCAGTAGCAGCATTTGTGAAAAAGAGAGCAATGAACTTGAAGTCAGAGAGCAAATTAAGCATCCAAAGAAAGACCACAAATTGATGAAAACAGCAAAGAAAATACAACTAAAAAGGGAGTTTGATTACCGAGAGTGGGGGAGAGAGCGTTTTCCAAAATCTAATGGAGACGTACGGGAGGGAAGAAGAGACAACACTGCGTAGAAACGAAGAGGAGAAGAAGGCGAAGGCAATATCTGTTTTGATTCCTCCAGTCCTCCTTAAAACAGACTGCCTCGTCTTTCTGGGGGGAGGCAAGTACGTATGCAGTAGCTAGGCTATAACTACCTAACTAACTAACTAACAGAAGCCATTTGTCTATGCTGACCACATCTCTAAATGCAATAGGACGCGATGCACCACACTCCTCTAATTTAAAAGAAAAATATTAATGCATTGTTTGGGGGGATATTCTCCATCGCCTTTGCCTTTTTTTAAAAAAATAAATAAATAAATAAATAAATAAAATTGAAAGGCACTCATTCACCCATTAATTTAAAGATTCTAACTTGACTCGAACAGGGTTAGGATTATTTGCTTCTATCCCTTCTCGGATCATTAATTCCTCTCATCTTTCTAGTGTTTTCTAAATCTCTTCTCCTTTCATGAGAATTAATTCTACCTTGAAAAATTATATATAATTAGGTAATTTCGGAGTTAAATTCACCTTCACATGAGAAGAAGAGCGCGGCTTCGAATTAATTGAAAAAAATATTCATCCTCTGCTTTTATCCATATCTAATTGTCTTCTGATTTCATCTCCAAATTCTTCTCGAAAGTAAAAAAGAAAGAAAAAACAGCTTTAGAAATAAGATGATTCAAGAAAGGGCCAGGCTGAAACCCAATAACAAGAAAATAAAATGATTTGGGCCGGTAGTGGGAGACCCATAAAAGGGAAAGGCCTGGTCAAGGAAAGCATTTGAAAGACAGACAGGCCGGCAAAACATCCAGAGGAAGAAATTGGGAGCGACCGACTTCTTATTTAAGGTTTTTTATTTGTGGGTTTGGAATTTGGGTTTGGGTTTGGGCGTGTCTTAAATCCAAGACTCTCTCTCTCTCTCTCTCTCGGCTCTATGCTACATTTATATCTCCTGGAAGCAGAAAACCTCCATTCTCCGTCCCTCTCTACTTCCAGAGAAAGACAAGGGGAGAAGAAGCTATCTATAGCTATTCTGAGACTTCTTTCTTCATCAATTAATTAGCTTCTCTGTTATCAATCAGGTATGCACAATTCTACTCGAAAACAAATCCTCCCCTTGATCGATTCGAATTGTAGTTGCCGATTATTCTATCTTTGCTTGTCCTGTTTCACGAGATTTACTCGCTTCAAGTCTTTGCCTTTAACTGTTTTCTCTTAAGTTGATTTATCACTAGATTAGATCTATTTTGTCATTATTATCAACAAATCTGATTTTTGTTTATGTTTAGTGAATTAATATGTTGTAGTAGTAATAATAATAATAATAATCTGATTTGTTCTGTTATAATATTAATCCTTTTATGACCGTTACCCCTTTATCACGCTGCTGTTGTTTAGTGTTAGCATGATACAAGTAATTAACAAATTGAGAATTAATTATTGCTATTGTTATACCCTTAAGTGAATTTGTCTTCTTTGAACAAGCTGTCTGTCTGTACCATTACTAAAACATTTATTTCATAACAGACTAACGAACTGCTGCAATGGGAAGGAAGCAAAAGGAGGATGCTAGTGGCGCACCCTCAAAGGCTAAAGCTGGCAATAAAGATGCAAAGAAGGAAAAACTATCAGTCACTGCCATGCTGGCTAGCATGGACCAGAAACCTGACAAACCTAAGAAGGGTTCTTCGTCAACCGTAACGTCTAGCAAGCCCAAGCCAAAGCCAGCTCCTTCTTACACCGATGGAATTGATCTTCCTCCATCTGATGATGAAGAAGAGCCGAATGGCTTGGAAGAAGAGCAACAGCAGAACGATCCGAACAAGAGACCCAGTCAGCGGAGGTCTGAATTGAAGCCCCTTGATGTAGCCATATCGGATAAAGAATTAAAAAAGCGTGAAAAGAAGGAACTTCTTGCTGCCCATGCCATTGAGCATGCGAGGCAAGAGGCCCTTAAAGATGACCACGATGCTTTCACGGTCGTCATTGGAAGCCGGGCTTCTGTCCTTGATGGGGAAGATGAAGGTGATGCAAATGTCAAAGATATAACAATAGAGAATTTTTCTGTCTCAGCTCGGGGGAAAGAACTGCTTAAAAATGCATCTGTGAAGATAGCACATGGACGGAGATATGGTTTGGTTGGGCCCAATGGAATGGGCAAATCTACACTATTGAAGCTCCTTGCTTGGAGAAAGATTCCCGTGCCGAAGAATATTGATGTGCTTTTGGTTGAACAGGAGGTCATTGGTGATGATAAAACAGCTTTACAAGCAGTTGTTTCAGCTAATGAAGAACTTGTCAAACTCAGAGAAGAAGTTGCCTCCCTGCAGAAATCTGACAGCCCTGATGAGGGTGAAAACAATGGTGATGATTATGATGAAGATGATGCTGGAGAGAGACTTGCTGAATTGTATGAGAAATTGCAGTTGATGGGATCAGATGCTGCTGAATCACAGGCATCAAAGATTCTTGCTGGGTTGGGTTTCACCAAGGATATGCAGGGCCGTCCAACTAGGTCTTTTAGTGGTGGCTGGAGGATGAGAATTTCACTGGCAAGGGCACTTTTTGTGCAGCCTACTCTTTTATTGCTTGATGAGCCTACCAACCATCTTGACTTGAGGGCTGTTCTCTGGTTGGAGGAGTATCTGTGCCGGTGGAAGAAAACTTTGGTTGTTGTCTCACATGACCGAGATTTCCTCAACACAGTTTGCAATGACATCATTCATCTACATGATCAGAAACTTGACTCCTATCGTGGAAATTTTGATGATTTTGAAGTTGGGTATGAGCAGAGGCGGAAGGAGACAAACAAGAAGTTTGAGATTTATGACAAGCAGATGAAAGCTGCGAAGAGGAGTGGGAATCGGGTTCAGCA